TTTACAAAATATATTTTTGTGTTTTAAAATTTCAGAATAAATTCTGAATGGCAGGCACATACCCAAGTAAACTATTCCATCTTAACTATTTTTCTGTGATTTATTATTACATTTTATTGTAAAAAGTTCCATTCCTACTAGTAATACTTTTAGCCTGAAGCTATAGTTTCTTGGCTTTTATTTTAAATGCATTTAAATTTAATTAATAAAGTATAGCCATATCTCTCAGTAGTTATATTTTTCCTTCCAAGGCAGCAGAAGGAAATAACTAGCAACTGACTAGAAACAAATGTTTTTTTATATTTAATGATGTTTATTCAATCTGAAAGCCAAAGGAAGTGGAAGCAGCACCAGACTGTCAGCTGGGCTCTCACAGTCATTGCCTACAAGAAGAGACTCCTGTGCCTAGGACAAAAGCTAACAGGATCCAGAGTCTGGCTTTTTAGAGGTAGATGCTGCTAGACTTTTTCACATCTTTCCTGAATAATCAGGAACCCTTTCTAGAAAACTGTTCTGTTCACATTTCTTGTACTGAAGTTCAAATTCAGGGAAAGTGGAAGAACTGGTATGAGTAAATCTAAAGAGATTTTTGTTCACCGATCAGCTACACTAAGACACTCCAAGGTGTTGCTAGCTTCTAGGAACTCTGTGTTCTACCCATTCTAACAACACGTCATATCAAGGTGCTTGCTGATTAGTGTGTACATGCACAGTTTGTCACCTCTCAGCACGAACTTCGTCTGGCTTAAATCTGAGCACATCTAATGTGGCATCAAATCAATACAGCTACAACATGGTGTTCACATGCACAATGAGTACATTGCTGGGTATTCCTTGCATTCCGCTTCCAGATTAACAGCTAATGCACTCTGGAAAGTCTCCAATCCTGCAGTGGATTGTTGTTCCCCTCCCACAGTCTTGGCCATTCATTTTGTTGAGTCCTTTTGAATCATCAGCTCCCAAATTCTTACCAATTATAAAGAAAATGTCTGCTTCTTGAGCGTCTTCAGTCCCAGTTGCCACCTATCCAAACAGAGAATGAATGATTCACATAACAATTCCTGGGATACAAAACTCTCCTCTCCTCTATACCACAGACTCTGTTTGGTGGGACAGCCAGATCTATCTGTCTGCCCAGATCTTCACTTGCAAGGGAAAGAGAAGCAGAGGAAGAAATTTTAATGTTTCCTAGGAAAGATTTATGGTATGGTTGGCATAATGGGAAAACAAAATATGGGTCTGTGGTGAGAGCACATTGGGACTTTTATTGCATGTATTCCTCTGACTTGGAAAGAAGGGTAAGATTTGGCCTGGACTGGGTAATCAACCCACAACGGGTCATGAAAGATGGATGAGCGTTAGGGAAGGATAAGGCGGGAATCATCCAGCTGGTGACCACCATGACCTTTTGACATAATCCCTGTGCAGGATGCGATCCTGTGAGTCATTTCAGGGCAGCAAAGATATTTTGCCCTGAAGGCAAAAGGAACTTGCATAAGAGACTGAGTCTACTTTGATGGTAGGCCATGAAATGTCTGAAGCTGAACATGGAAGTGCCAGTGCATGTGCATAATATAAAACTGTGAGAGTCTAGAAGTGTCAGCCATTACACTGCACTGATGAGCAATGTTCCACGTTGCAAAATTCCGCTGGACTAAAGATATCACTTTAAAAATGTATGATCTTTTTCTATGAGTACAATGAGTTTATAACAGTTCAGATTTGCAGAGATTATCTTTGGCTTTTTTTAACCCTGTTGTGTCAAACCTAGATCTCATCAGTTCATTAAATTCTCCCCTTGCGCCCACATTTACAATCTTCTATATACAACTGCATTCCTCTGTGATGTTTTGACTTGTCACATTGTCTAAGAACTGGTACAATATATCAAAGATTGATCAAAGATTTTCTCTCACTGCTTTGTTTCCTACATATGTGGTGATAATTGGGTGCTTCATTTGTAGAAGCCCTTGTGCAAAGCCTCTCTGTTGAAGTAGGACTGCATAGGATTTATATATCTGTCCTTCTACAAAGTGCAGAAATCTCCAAGCTTGCATATTAGATCAGAGTCTTAACCTTGGATCCCATCCCACTTAACAACTCCTTGCTATTTTATCCTTATGATCCAGCATGTACACCATAGCCATCTTTGAGAAGAAAAAAGGAAGGTATGATGCTCATTTATACCAACTCCAGCAGAGGTAGGTTCTTTGAATGCACCACTTATGAATCAGATCCAAAAAAACTGTTGGTTTGATTTCAGAGATACAAGGGAAAGCTGCTGCTTTTTCTATTTTTTCTTTCTGCGAAGTTAGGTTGTTACTATACACAGCAAAAGAAAGACCTTAATGCCTCAAAAGAAATGAAGAATCATAGCATTCAATTATGGCATGATAGTCTCTGTATCAGTGAAAGGTTTTTTACAAACAAAATAAATAATAGACTTTTGTTTCCTGTGAGACAAAACTTTAACTATGACAATGAAGATGGAACACTTATATGATTTTGTACCTCCACAATAAAATCAGCACTACAAATTGTGTCACAGAAATATAGCATGGGATAGAGCTGAAGTGTCAGCTTGCCCAGCAAATTAAGAAATCCCGTAGGGAGCAAAGACATAAAAATCAGCAATTTGAAATGCCATTTGCAAGGTGCTTGGTTTCTCTGTAATGCAAATAGACATATAAAATATGCAGGAATGTGGTTTTCTTCGGTTTGAATGGGAAGAGGAAATTGATTTACGAATCTTGAATGGAAGAGAAACTTTACAGCAAGAGAATAGACAAAGCAACTCTCGGCATGGTGTGGAGTATATATGCAGTACAACTGCCCCTGCCTGTGGGAACTGCTTTGACTTTTGTACTATTACAACATAACCAAAATGCTCTCCAGCATAATTGAATACTAGGGCTTTACTCTTTAGTGATCTTCAGATTAGTATAATCTTTGTGGTTATTCTTGGGCAACTGGCCTTTCAGGACTTTCAGTGATGGGCCTTCAAAGAGCCTTTTATATTTGCCGAGAGTTTGAAGCCAGCTCTCTTCAAGGTGTGTTCTGCCTGGCTTCCAGTAGTTTGGTAGTTTCACAGAGATGTTGCAGGATTGTCAGCCCTCGAGTGTGCAGAGAAGTCTCTGGGGTTACAGATCATGGGAAGGAAGATGTTTCTTCATGTGTGATCTTGGTTTCCAACTGTTCCTGGATTATCTGCAGTGTTGAGCAATGAGAAGAAAACATGTGGAAGAAAGAAACAGAAAAATCTGAGCAAGCCAAATCTCAAAGAATTTCAATAGTTCCTTACACCACTGGCTGTGCAGGTGAGGCACTGTCTTAATTAAAAAAAACAAAGCAGGGAACGTCACACCAGAAAAACTAATACACAGTATACAAAACCGAAATAGGCCCATTTAATTCTGGGATTTTTAGCAAAGCTTTGTTCTTTACCTCCAAAGGCCTCTCTTCCTGCTTGGACAGCTGCCTCTCTGCTTGCTGAGTATTTGCTTAAAGAAGATATAAAGCATTTTTTCTTTTTTAAATTATTCACATAGATGCACTGCCATTTTAGGTACAATTTGTGTAAGAAGTGCTTAGTCCTCTTTGTAGTTTCTATGGACTTGTGCTTTGAAAATAATTTAAGAATGAAACATGTTTTGGGGATAATTCTGCAGATGAGCCTCTGTGGAAAAACTGCATTAGATCATCAAACTCACTGCTCCCGGGTCCGAGGGAGCTTCCACAGGGAAGTTGCATAAGACAGTAAACTTACATTACGCTGGATGCTAATGAAAATGTCAGGAAATTATTTTTCTTCTAGTTAAAAATACAAAAGCACATTCATATAAAAGACACTAACACACAAGCACAAATTTCCATAATGTGAGAAAGTGAAAAGGAAAAAGAGGATTCTTAGTCTTTGTAGTTAAGAAGAATTATATTAATTCCTTTTTTATAACACAATGGGTAAAACTAAATTTAAAAAAAAAAATATGTCCAGAGGCAGATAAGAGAGAAGAGTAAACTACATTTCTGGAGATCTGTTCTTTGTTCTAACTGAAGATGAGCTCAAGCTTTTATCCCTCCTGTTCCAACCAGGTAAGACTTCTACTTAAGGCTTGATCTCCAAGGTCCAGCTGATCTCTGCTGCAAACTCCCAGAAGAATTTAACAGTGACAAGAATAGCCTATTTTAGCTCCTATGGTAGATGAAAAATATACAAACTTATGGGATACAGCTAACGGAGGCCCAGCTTTCTGCTGCCTCTTGGTGCAAGTCATACAGAAAGAAATTGACAAAACAGTTGAATTTCTCTACAGTTTTTCTGTAAATATCACCTGGGACTGTAAATGAGTCCCTCAAATGTGATAGACTGGGACACCACGCAGATAGGTTTTAATCAGATAACATACATGCAAAAACCATGAGAAAGTGGTAGAGGAAATATACATCTAGCAATTGAAAGTTAAAGCAATCAAGATGATTCATTGCAATGACATACAGATCTTTCTCCTTCAGCCTTTAAAAGTTCACATAAAAGGAAAAAAAATCACTACATAGCCTTTTCTCTCACAATACTATCTCAATTAAGAGACTTGTTTGAACAGCTCCAGTTGCAACTTTCTTCACTCTTCAGTATTTTCCTGTGCTGCCTTTGTACCACTTATGCATCAGGACACTGCTGCTGCTATGTGAGTTACACAGAGCAATAAAGGAGAAAAAATCCTCACTGGGTTTTCTGAAATGTGCCATATTGTGAACTGAGACACAAGAGATGCATTTACTAAGTGGGCTAGCAAGTTATTAAAAAAAAGAAAGTGCTCTTGTGGGAGCAGATAAAAGAAAAACATGCCTTTAAAGTCTCTCTCATTTCATATGACAAAGATTCCTGCATTTATGAGGGACATCTGTCACAGAGGGTGAAAAAAAATATTTTAATGTAAGCAAAGAACAGCCCAGGAAAAAAAGTACACTTCAAAATCTAAAAATAATCTTTCTTTAAGTTGTTCTTCAGCAAAAAAATAAGACAGGATTATCAAAACAAGTTATATTCAGACTGAACGCAATTATATCAGAGTAAGTCTGATGTGGAAAGACAATACAAGGCACTTGGAGCTTACAGAACAAGTTTAAGCTGCTTTCAAGATAGAAGGGAAGTGATAAACCAGTTCAGGAGCATGATTTCTTTTACAAATAATTTCTAAGAGGAGATGTGACTGGAACTTTGAGTACTGCAGAAGGCAATAGCCAGAAGCAGCAAAAAAAATATAACAATGCCAAGTAAGATAATTAGCAGATGCTATCAAGACAGTAGAGTGATAAGGTGTGATTGAAGACATCTTTAAGCCACTTACAGGCCTCTTCTTTTTGGAGAAGTAGATAGGAAGGCACAGGAGAGCTCATTATACCCTCACTATGGTGGGCAGAGGCTCCAGGTCACTACTGGCTGCAAACACCTGAGTTTTTCCAGGAGGAGTTGAACAGAAGGCAATGCTCTTCTTTCACCCTCTTCTCATGTTCCTGGGATAAAGGATTGGAGAGGTATAGGACGTAGCCAGTGTGCTATGTGATAAGCTAAGCTTCTTCCATTTGGGAAAAGCAGCTTGTGCTGTGCTCCACCTTGTGAGTAGCTGAATGGATTATCTCCATTTTGCTGGCAACTTTTGACTAGCATTTACTAACTACAGGTCTCACAGCGTTGTTACAGCAGACAGACAGACATTAGAGGCACAGGTGGGAAAAGACAGCTATTTCAGGGCTCTATAGCACATGAGATCTCCTGACTCCTGGTCTGTTGCTCTGTCTGAAGAGGTATGACCCACAAAAATGCATAGGAGTATTTAGGCAATGCCCTTAGAGAGAAACCCAAAAGGGAGCTCAGGGAAAAAAAATCACAGTCTACCATGGAAAGAGACTAGCCTAGAGGGCACGCAGGGTCTATAAGGCATCAGCTTGGTTTAACAGATTTAACCTAACTGCTGCTACAAAGCCCAAAGTCTTCTTCCTGGACAGCAGCTTATAATACAGTGGAAAATGCTTCTCTAGAATTAGTAAATACCATATTTCCCAGTTCTCAATAACTTTTTTGTGGTTTTTTTTGTTTGTTTGTTCATTTTTTGTTTGTTTGTTTGTTTTTTGTTTTTAATCATACTGTAGCCAAAATATATTTAGCATTAAAGTGATGTTATATGTGACTATCCCATGCAAGCCTACCAAACCCATGTACATGATATCCTGGCACTGAAGATAGAAGTAGACATTCATAATGGTTGAAACACTCAAAGTGTAAGAGATTGTACTTGCATATTAAGTCATGCTCATTTTGCCAGCATGGGAAGAAGTCGGCAAGGTATTTTCTAACCATATTATACACACACATATTACGCCAGAATTAAAAATAATTGCATAATAATTGCAACACATTTTGTAGCTGCAGAACTAACATTGCTGGGCAAGTTTAATTTTCCTATTTTTATTCTTTCCGTGCAAATTAAATTTTCAGCATTAACTTTGTTAGATTAACAGAGGTGTGTGTGTTTTTAAAAGAAAAAGGAGAGGAAATGGTGCTGGCACAATTATGGCCGTTCTCAAAGGTGAAACACATGCAAAATTAATTGGCCAATGTAAGGACTGTGCATAAGCAGAGGAAAGTATGCTCCCGGGTATAATCGAATGTATTTATTCAATAACAGTGCCTGCCACTATTACAATAATGACTTAAAGTTTTCAAGTGCTCGTTTCCTCTCTGTACTGTTTGCCACTTTAGAAGGTGTGGATGGTTGGGAACAGAAAGGAGCGATCACAAAGATGAAAGGCGAACTGCGAGGTGTGGAATGCGGTTGTTGTGAAGGGACCAGCAGATGGGTTTTTGCGATGAGGAGAAGGCTGGCATCTCTGGTGGCGGAGGAGGTTCACCGACTGGCTAGGACAATTTGTAGACGAAGCATCCTGGTTTACTTGTACAGGGTACGGAACTGTGGTGTTAGTGGTGAGATGCAGAGGTGGGGCAGCGGTTGGCCACTGGTGGCAGATCAGCTTGGAGGAAGGAAGAGACTTTTGGAGCTCATCCAGTGAACCAGCACCTCGCTCAGCCATAAAGCCCATTTGGGATTTTATAACTGCTGGACTCCTGTGCCACCGAACTCCACAGCGGTAATGAATCCGGACATTAAATGAAAAGAAACCCACTTGTCTTCCCTCTAATGCATCCCAGGGCTCTGCGAAAGGGGAATCCGAGGCGCGGAGAAGCGCAGGACGGAAACTCCCTCGCCTCCCTCCTCAGCGTAACGGTCGCGGGGACGCGAGAGACGGGCGGGTAGGCGCGGTGTCACGTGATCCGCCCCCCGCGAGCGCGGGGCTGCAGACCCCCGTTTGAAGGGGGGGCGGACCGACGAGGGGGCGACCGGTCCCCCCGGTGGGCGACCGGAGCCCCGCGGTCACGTGACCGTGGAATGATGTCACGCCCCCCGCCCTATCCGCGTGGAGCCGCTGAGTGTCCCGGGGCGCGCGGCGGCGCTGCTCCGCCCTTCACAGCGGCGGCGGCGGCGACCGGAGGGGGACGCGGCTGCTGCCTGGGGTGAGCGGGGCGCGGCGCGGCGCGGCGCGAGGGGGAGGCGGCGCGCGCTGTGAATGGGGGCTTTGTGCGCGGCGCCCACCTGCCCCCGCCCCGCGCTGGTAGTGGTGGCGGCCGCGGCGGCGGTGGGCGTACGCGGAGAGCAGCTCCTCCGCGTGGAGCAACAGGAGGAAAGTTCTTCCTTCTCGCCGCGGCCGGGGAGCCCGGAGGGGAGAGCGGGGAGCAGCCCGTGAGTGTCCGCCGCTTGGTTGTTCCCTCGCGTTTATTTTATGTGGTTTTATTTCCACGGGGGGCTCGGGAGGGCTGACAGCCGCCGGCGAGGGCGGGCAGCGCGGGTCCCTCGTCGACCCCGCCGCTCCGTGACAGCGCGGCCCGGCCGCGCCTCCTCGCTGCTCCGAGGCCCCGGGACCGAACCGGCGGCGTCGGGCGCTGCTTTCCTGGCGGTCCGGGCGGCAGCTCGGCGCCTGTCGGACCGGGGTCCCGTCGCCGTTAACGACCGCGCCGCCCCCCCAGCCCCGCGGCCGCAGCGAAGCACGAAGGCGAACCGAGTGTTTTCTTTGTGGCTGCTCCGAAATGCAATCGAGAAAATCCCTAATCGCATCAAGTTCAGCCAGAAACCTTCGCTCCCAGCTTCTCACGGAGTTCACGGAAGGACTGGCTTTTCTCTTGCGCAGCGCTCGGCAGCGAAGAGCCTTCCGCCGGCCACTTGTCACAATCTGAAGTTTCCTCGGGGCTGTGAGCAGTCTGCTTCAATTCCTGCTCTGCTGGCACTGCGGGCTCGGAGCGAGTTCTTGTCAGTGTTACTGTAGCGAGCGCGCCTGTCGCAGAGCTGACACAGAACGCTTGCCGTCTGCGTAGAGCTGCTGCTGTACGCACTGAAAGGCGGCCTTTCTTTTTGCTTTTTGTATCCCTGTAGGTTTCAGACCAGTGTTTCAATTTTATTGTTATTATTTTTATTTTTTAAAGCCCAGATGTGCGGATATGTCATCTTAGATAGGCCTTTTGGATTACCTAGGAGTAGATGAGTTTGGTAAATGTCTGTCAGTGACCTGCTTGGCTCTCGTCTCGGGACACTCATGGAAAGCTGTCAATGAGATTTTATTTACTAATAGAAGAATTGCGTAAGAGCTGTATGAACCAGAGTGAAAGAGCTGGATATTAGCTCAGGGTTCCCTTGAGTTCAGGTCAAGCTCAGTGTCAGTAAGTCACTGTGCAGTAGCAGGCATCCGTCTGTCCACTGTCTAAAAATATGGGCCCTGTGCTCTTCTCTTCCCTCTTCCAAGAGTGCATGTGCTAGCAAAGCACTAAAACCTCTTTCCCTCTCCTTCTCCAAACCAAGAAACAGTGCACACCGATGGGAGAAGAGATGTGGAGGGAGGCTGCTGCTCTCGCAAATGATGTGGGTGTTTCACAGTAGAGTTTACTCACTTGCCCCATCTCTTACTTATTTTTTTTCTTTTGTATGCTCCCACTATGTTGCTTTTCTTTTCTCTCTCACTGGTAAGAAGTTCATGCCTCTTTTAAGTGAGAAGTAGTGGCAAGAGGCCACAAAAACTAACTTCTTATGTGAGATGTTAGCAGTTCCTAAATCCTTCTGCAACAGTACCCTGATCACATTCCTTTTGAGAGCTGATTGTGGACTGGTTATTTTTGCATAGGGCTAATACTTGAAACAGCTGTGGAGGAAAGCCAAGCAAAACTAGAATAAATCAATTTTAGGCTCTGTGCCTTGCTTAGTGGTGGAGATGGTAGACTACTGAAAATTCCAGGCAACTTTTATTAACTGGATGTTGAGCGGGAACATAGCGATCTGTAACATCTTCTAAGCTTACAGATTTGAATAACTGGCTTTCCTGCTGTCTGTATACTTCCTGCATGTCTGAGAAGCCTAGTCCCTTTGCATGCTCCTTGGAGTTGCTGTCTAGGTGCCTGTGAATGCATATACTGGTGGTAACTCTGCATGTGGGGTAACTTGGAGATTGTTTTGGAGTTGTCAGTCCTTGCTGAGAGTCACCTAATACTGCAGTTTTAACCTGTAGAGGAGATAGGGCAAATAGCTGTGATTCGTGGAATATATTGAAGGTTATCGCTATCAGACTGCCAAAAAATAAGTGAAAGTCTGTTGGTAAACTGTGGAAGTAGTGGAACATCTCCACTTACATTTAAGATTAAAAGTTAATCATGGTACCTGCAGAGAACTGTCAGAGCTGAAGTACATAGCAGTGAAAGAAGGCATCTTTCTCTTGTGTTCAGATCCAGAAAGCTGTGGCCAGTAAAACCCTGAGGTGATGGTAGTGGTCACAGAATCTGCAAGTCACAGAGGTGAGAAGGGACCTCTCGGTCCACCTGGCCTGACTTATGCTTAAAAAGGGGCACTCAGAACAGGGTGCCTGGGGCCATATCCAGGCAGCTTCTGAAGATCTCCAAAGGGGAGACTCCACAACCTCTCCAGACAATCTGTGCCAGTGCTCTGTCACTTGCACAGTACAGGAATGCTTCCTGATCAGAAAGAACCTTGTGTTCCAGTTTGTGTCCATTGTCTTTTGTCTTGGAATTGGGCAGCACTGAAAAGAGTCTGATTCTGTCTTTTTTTGCATCCTCCCTTCAGATGATAATAGACGTTGATAAGAACTTCCTTGAATCTCCTCTTCTCCAGGCTGAACAGTCCCAGCTTGCTCAGCCTTGCAGGAGAGGTACTTCAGCCTCTTCATTGTCTCAGTGGCCCCATGTAGTTTGGTGTGATTGCTTCATTAGGAGGGTGTCATCAGCCTAATGATTAGTGCCTACAATGTCTTAGATGTCCACTCAAGTCCTTCTTCTACAGAGCAGGTCTCACATTTTAGGTGAGTGCTGTAATAACATAAACATATTTTTGAAAGCTGTCTTAGTTTCTTTTTTATTTTGTACCTTCAAAACATAAGATATGTGAAGTTTTTTTGTTGTTCTTTGTTTTTCTCACCTGAATCTATAGGGTAAAGATGAGAGCCAAGTTTGTCCAATCATTACGAAGAGAAAACTTGTATGCAAGTCTTTCTGAGACTGTAGGAAGATGGTGTTCCAGTTTCTTTCCTCATAAATGCTGAGGCTCAGGAAGCTACTGGGAGCTATTGCTGGTGGGCATGCAGAAACAGTACCTCACATCTGAACCACCAGAGGCACTGGGATGCCTTCAGATGTCTGTGGGAAATTTGGCATTCAAATGCTTTCTTAGAATCTGGTATGCAAGGTCTTGTCTGAATTTCCATGAGGATATCTCTAAGAGCCCTCTAGATGTTCATAGTTCTCTGAAGCATGGGAAAAGTATCCTACATGTTGCGCCTTCTCTGTCTAGTATTAGTGCTGCTGCTACTGAACATGATTTTCAACAGCCTAAATAAAATCAGATAAAATTGATTCCATTTTCACTAAGATGTGGATACTGATCTTGCTGAAGTTCTACTCACTTATGACTGATAGTCTTTCAGGGTAGAAAAAAATCTCAGTTCCTAATACCTTTTATGAAGTGTGAATGTGCTTAATTTTTGGTTTGTAAATACACCCAATTCCCTTTCATTTTCAGATAATGTTTAAAAATGTAATCCACTTTGATCAGCTAAAATGTTTTCCCTCCCAAAAACTTGGAAGCTGAATAGAGTAGGTGTGTTATTAGCACCATCTCTGAAAGTATTTCTAGACTAGGGAGGTTTTCAGTGGAATATTTTTTCAAGGCCTTTCAGCAGTGTAAGAGCTTAGTTAATGGGAGTGGGGTTGGCAGGTGTTTTTTGGTAATCTAAATCAGTGTTCTTAGCTGCTGCCCTTGTACGAGGCTGTTCTATGTTAGGCTATTTCAGAGTATTTGTCTATAAATGGATGCAGTTGTTTCTTTTCACACTGAAGATTGCATCTCAACAAGTTCTCATGTTTGCTGATTCTGAAGTGCAGTTAGTTGAATAATACAGAATATTAGGAAGTAAGTATAAACAAGCTCTAGTTGTTGTTTTCTTGGATTTCTCATGTAAATAACTGACGTTTGCAAAGTGAAACTCTGCATCTTTTTTCTCTATTTCAGTTTGTATGCTTCAATTCCTGTCTAGTCCTGTTGGACTAAATAATGAACATGGGAAAAGTCTTCAGATCTGCAGTGCATCTTATGTTTGGTGAACCAAAGGAATATGGTCTCAAAATGGGGTGACACACAGTGTGGGGGAACTTTTTAGTTTGGAGATCTGGCAATTCAATGCAGAGAAAGATAGCAATATATCCTTGCTTATGCAGTAAGTCTTGTCTCGCTGCAAGCTCACTGTTGGCAGATACTTTGAGACAAAGGAACTGGAGTAAGAACAGAGTAAAGTTGTAGCATAATGATTTGAATGACAGATGTGCTGGGACTTCACTTGAGATACAGTTTTGCCTGGAGTTCTGTCCGGTATGTCAAATGAACAAGTCAGAGCTGTGTCACATTTTGAATTTTCTCTACTCTTCTCTGTAATTAACAGTGTATAAGGCCTTGTTCATGCAAACTTTCCCCAAGGAGAAAGCACAGTTTAACAAATTGCACATATCCCAGATTGACAGTTGAGTATTAGTTGTGTAATGTCCACAGAGACTGGTACGACTTTAGCTGCAGCCATTAGAAATGAAGTAAAATATTTGCAGATTTTGAATGTAGAGGATATGTAAGAGTAGAAAGCTGAGGCAAAGCATCCTGAAGAAAAGAGAGATAACTACGTTTGTTAGTGATGCAATATCTGTAGAGTTCTTAACTTCTGGGCTCAAATGCTTAAATTTGTACTGTTCAGCACATCTTTGCCAGTGATTTGTGAGCAGATTGAGAGATTGTACTAAGTTACCCAATGCCCCTGCTATCTCTGATGTCTGATTCTGTTCTGCATGGGATTAACGGTCTATAAATCACTCCCATTTTTGTGTTGTATTTGGGCTTCTCAGTGCATTTTTTCAGTGTGTTTTCATTGATAAGTAATAGCAGGTTAACCAAGCCAAGAATTATTTGTCTTTATAGGTGA